TGCCTAACAGAGTAAGGACAAACAAACAATTACAGGTCAAAACTAAGGAAAGGGGCACCCTTTTTTCTTTCAAGACGACGATCCCCCCTTATATCTGCTTATATCTAATATTTTGCTCCTGGTATTGAACCTTTTCAATATTGAATTTTTGAGGGGGAAAAGACACACTGTGAGACTACTGGAGCTAGAGCCACATAAGACTCTTCTTTGAACACAAAATTCAAAAGTGGGTCACAATGACATTCATGAATGCAGTTACAAGAATACTCCATTTATCCATTAAATGTTCCTAAAAAGTGATATTTGCTTAAATGACTGCTTGAGGGAGATCGAGTCAAAAAACTGCCATCCAATAGATACAGCAGTTAACCTTGATGGCTGTGGTCCAACAGCAACATATTTTACTCTAAACTACTGATGCTGTCCCAAAGAAATGGGTTCCACTCTAATGGCAATGGCAACCGACAGCAACATTGTCACAATTTTCTGATGCAAAAGACATTGTGGAAGCATTTAACAGCGGTGATATCCGGATGAATAGAGCGGAACTACTGAGAAGCACCCCTCCCTTCTCATTCACTCATGTCAGTGTAGGTGAGGCGAACACACAATTCGATTCTGCTGCACTGCAGAATTTTCAATTTATCTGTTACTTTCAAAGTCATCACTTCTCTATTTCATTGACAAACTTATTGTATCCTGCTGTTTTATCAAATTTGCCCTTCTTACACCATTATTGGCAGCCTGTTGCTGCAGGTTTCAGTTTCATTCTCCCCCGTCTGTGTCTCCATCTCTGCTCCACTACCCCTCTTGTTATGTTGACACTTCTATATAGATGCAGGCGTGTGTGTGTGTTGCGTCGCAGTAAATTCAGCTACCTTTCTTCTGGCAACATTTTCTCTTCTCATACAGCTCAAACTGAAACAAAGGAATATACCTTGATTAAAAAGTAGGTCAAGGTTGCCCTGATCATTCATCAATCAACTTCCTAATCTGATTCAGGGTGGGTTTTCTGATCAGCCAGCATTGGTTCTCAATCACTTTTCTCATCTGTAAATTTAAACAATCACAGTGGCTGATTCATCTTCCCAAAAAATCCTGAAAGGAGCAGTCTTATATAAGAAGGTAGGTATAACTATTATTATAAAGTTGTTTTTTTCTTCTAATCAAGACTGTTATTATATTCTTAATATCTTTAATTACCATATCTTGAAGTACCTTATTAAAATATTGAAGGGTTTTTACATATTTAATAAAAAAATATTAAATCCATTAACATAGCAGATGGAGGTGTTTGTTATGCATGCTAATGTCCCATAAATCAGTCCAATAAAACTGACTTAACTGTAATGACTACGAGGCATTTTCACAAACTCCAGAAAAGTACAAATACTATAGACAGGAAACACTTCATGTGCTCCACTCTTGGCATTCCCTTACAGACAAGAGGAAACACATCAAAGCTTTTCTAAATGTCATCCTAATTATCACTCGCGTTGCGTTGAAATATAAAAAATAAACCAAAATACCAAAGCCTCAAGGTTTTTCCTCCTCAGATAACCTCTCAACTCATCTTCAGCTCTTAAAGCGGGATCAGGAGGGCCGAGGACTCGACATCAAATCGGGCTGTGTGGGTGTGAGTCATCGTGAATCACATCTGACAGACAGCCATGATGATGATGATGATGATGATGAAACTCTGCTGACTTCAAAGACCAACGCCTTCCACAACCACTCACAATTGTAACACTAATAGTTTTAAATGTAGAATGCCAGACTTTCTGTTCGGCCCATTTTAAAGGAAAGCCATCTCAGTGATGCGAGTGGAACTCCGTCCTTTTTTTGTTTAAATGGGGTGCCACTGTGGGCGTGGGCAGGCTCACATAGTTCGATCAAAGCAAAAACAACATTAACAACAGTCATGTTGTACTTTAGCCTTTTCTTTTGATTCAAATGTGACCTATTTATGCAGGTCTTACAACACATTTATATTCTGGGAGGAGGACAAAGAGGGGGAACAATCATGGACATGGCATGTCTTCAGATGGCCGCTCTAAAAATCAGCATGGAGCAACACATCAGAGCAGCCTGGGTTGGATGTTCCACAGTCCTGTGGGACTTCCAGAGCACATTTAATAATGATGGCATCCAACCATAAATTGTGGTGCTCAACAAACTACAGAAGAGGGCAGTAATTATAGATTTAGCAATCCAGAACAACAACAACAACAACATCAAGAAAAGAGAACACAAGGGGGTTGAGAAATAGAGGGCTGAGAGACAAGGCTGAAAATATGTAAAGGCAAAGGGTTAATCGAGGCAACAACTCCTAAAATGAGAGAGAGCCTCCTACACATTCCTGGAACAGCAGATCTGTCAGAAGAGTCTGCTAACTGCTAGCACACAGTGTTAAACCCTCAAGCTACCGGGCCTGTGCAAGACCCAAGCTTGAAAATAGTTCTGTGAACTGGTGAGTGTTAATTTTTCTAAATTAGTTTTGGGGGCTTTTTTTTCCCCTCCCGCAATTTCCACACAATCTAACCTTAAAAAGGTAATAGATCACATGTGTGGGACTTGGAAGACAAAAGAAGAAGCAAGCATGCAGATGAAAAGGGTGAAAATAATGAGAAGGCATGTAAATGAGCGATAATGATGGAGGAAGGGAGGTGATGAAACACTAAGTCAGCGAGGAGAAGAAACCCTGCAGAGACAGAGGCAGTTGATTTGAGGGTGAAGTTAGATCAGGGGCTGAGAGAATATAAAAGCTTGATGGGTGGAGGTGAGAGGTCACCCTCTCCTCTCCCATAAGCTGTGATTATTCGTCCATCCAGCTATTGCTCTTGCCTCTTTAATTCAGCTTTACTCTTTCACCGTAGTATTTGTCCTCAATGATTCTTTATAAGCAGATATCTTTTGGACTCCGCTCTCTTTTCCGTTTTACCCTTTTGTGCGCTCCCTCACTTCCTCTCGCTTTTTCCTCCCACTCATCCTTCATACATAATTCAACCTGAGATTTCAGCATGCCGGGCGTGGCCATAAAAATTACATGTGGACGCTGCACCAAGCCCGTTTACTGGTGCCTCACCTCAAAAGGAGTGCCAGAGGCGAGAGCTCGAGGAAGAAAAGTGGAAGAGAACACGGTGTGAGTACAGTAAGGTGCAAGACAAAGGGATTGACGAAGTGGGGAAGAAAAGACCAGAATGACTAAGTGCAGCAGCAGGGGAGCAGTACGAAAAAAAAGGAAAGCGTACACGGTTCGATAATACTTCTGGTCAGAAAAAAAATTATTTCCATTTTCTTTTCCTGGTGCTACAAAACATCCAGTGTGTTTGTTCAACTACTGGGATGTAAATTTGCCTAATAAATCAATAGAACAGATCTCTGCATTTAAAAATAGAGAAGTAACCTCTCTGGACGATTCAAACGCTGTTGCCATACCCTGAAGACACAAAAGTTTTTTTCAGAAAGTTCTTGCTACTACCAAGAAGTATTGTTCAGATTTCTTAAACTAAGGCACACTCAGTGTTTTTGGGTCAGAAGTAGAGAAAAAGCCACCCGCACTCAGAAGGACTGAACTCTGGAGAATCTCCCAAAGCGGCAGCAAAGCCAAACAACAGACAGGATGTGTACTGTTCCACTGCAAAGACTCCCAAGTTCTTTCTCAAATTCTGTTCAGTCTTTTAGTTTGACACAAGCTCTTTCTAAAAGCAACATTCAACATTTAGATACCGGTTTCCAATTATGCAAGTTTAATTTTTCAATCATGCATTGTTTTGACTGAGTTTTGAAAGTGCATCCCTCTGCTGAGGTTTCTCACACTGAAGAGGCATCTCGGATGGCATGTGATCCCCAAACAATCAGAAAGATTCAGCAATCTTCTAGTAGAGATTGCTTTGGTTAAGCTTTCCTCTTTTCTGCGACCTAAATAACTGAGAACAAATGTAAAAAGTGTTTCTTATAATGAGTGACTCAGTGATTCTTGTATACGGGTATAGGAGTGGGAGCTCGGTACTCATTTTGAGCAGCATTAATTTCCCTTTCTGTGTGTTCCATTTTTTCAATTTACACTGAAACTGGATACAAGCCTCTCGCATCCACCCATCGCTTTCAATGTATCTGAGATCGGGTTAGGACTCTGGATCAGGAGGGAAACCCAGACCCATCCCACTGACACTCTTCAGGTCACCAGCCAGTGGCTAAATCCACGTCCATCTGGTACAAACACTCACAAAAAAAGGACACTCAAGGTTGGTGGATTGCTGATAATGTACCTGACAAAGGCCTGGGCAAAGCATCCGTTTCACATGTGACACAATATAGAACTTTGCTCACAACACATGATCTGTCCATGATGAGGAGCAGTTCTGCCGGTAAACAGACTTCCCTCCAACACTATTGTTGCTGCTGCATCCTGAGCTCACGACTAAGGAAGACTGCAAATTGTCACATTAGTTTACAGTAATAAAAGCTTCCCAAAGGGGCCACAAGCTGCTGCTGTTTGTGGTGGGTTTTGTTGTGTCTCACCAGAAGTCTTGTCGTACACATCTTTTCACTCGTCCAAATCGTAAAAGCGTCACAATGCGGGGTTGTGAATTGTGGGATTGTAATGCATCCTAAGGCTGTCCGCTGGGGCAGCATTCATGTGACATGACAGAATTACACAGCATGAAAATCTAAAACGAACATTATAACTGTCTGAGTACGTGTTTTGTAACATCTAGACAAAACTCTAATGGTTCATGAGTGAGAGTGCAGGACCAGAATAAGGAGCCATCAGCGGGAGAGGAGGAGAGAAGCTTTACAGAATGGGTGTGGAGCAGCCACCTTTTGCATTAAGGGTTCACAAATGTGAGGCGGTGCGACAGCTGTAATTTGAAATGCTAACTTTATGTAGATGCGTGGCTTTGCAGGGCATCAGCGTGTTGGCTGATCAGAACAAAGAGGCACCTGTGTGGGGAGCAAAGTGAGGAGATGCATCCTAACGGTGTAGCTGGGCTCGTCTACAGTAAAATGGCAGCTCGTCTGATGCGCACAGCACCTGATTTCCCCAGAAACAGAATCAGCGCGGTTTCACTCTCCTCTGGACTGAAACCCGCGTCAGCCGTGCTGCTGCTACAGTGCGCCCCTTCATACAGCGGGGAGACCAGCGAGGGATCGAGGCGAGGCTCGCCTTGCATACAGAGCGGGGAACGAGTGGGCGCTGTCTGAAGGCAAACAGTGGAGAGATGAGGCGGGGACGATTAGCATATTTATGGTTTGTGGCATACTAAATGAGCCAAAGGTAGAGAGTTACATCAAAGCAGTTGTAAGGATGAGGGGATTATTTTCGTTGGAAAAAGCTTGCAGATCTGAATATTACAGCATTAATCAAAGCCTGGAGAGGGAATTAAATTGTTCTGATGGATTTGATGTTCCTCAGGCAAGCATTGGCCTTTTGTTGGTCACTTACTGGATGCACAATGGGGATGCATATTCCATGTCGTGCTAATTGTTGGTCTTACGTGGAGTTGTGAGTAATAAAGAGACTGCAGCGGGCAGCCAGTGATGGCGGATTAAAGGGGGGAAATATTTTCTGTCTTTCTCGTGACCTCAGGTTTCAGGTGGTAATTGGCAGAACTCTGCAGGTAACGCACTCTTTTGCCCCCAGATTATCCTCCTCTGACAAATTCATGCAGGCACATATGCTAAAGCGCCCAATCTTAAACGCCAGCCATGGAAACAGCAGCCCAACATGCAGCTCATTATCCCCAAAGACTTCATTTTCTGTGGCGTTTTGAGGCCATCGGTCAGTCAGATGGTTATCTATTGTTTGCATAGAAGAAACGCAGTTACACCATTACAGACACAGAGTGGTATCTAGAATATGTCATGTTCTATTTAAATATCCAAAGCAGGACATCTATTTTAAAAACACAAGCCTGCACACATCCTGTCAATGCCGTCCTAAAAAAAAAAAGTCTTTTTTTGTCTTATTCTGTAAATGTTTTTTTCATGTTTCTTCGCCTTTCTTTCATAAATAATAAAAAGCTACTATTAAAATGGTCAGGAGTGCTGCAGGAAATGGCAAGCAGACAAGACCGCAGAGGCAGAAAAAAAAAAGACAGACTGAGGCACGCCAAGAGCAAGAAAGCAGGGAAGTGGAAACAAACACTTAACCTCTTTTTTCCCCGTGTTCCTCCCACCTGTTCCCTATGATCTAATGTAACGCTGCAAGATGTAAAAACACTTCTTGCAACACACCTTTTTCCCTAGAACCCTCTGTTGCTCTTTAACTGAGCTCTTTCCCTTTGACATTTGCCGTTTCACTGCTTTTCCCTCTCTGCATCTATCACTTTACTGCTGAGCCCTCTCCTGTCCATCACTCCTTTCCTCTTTGAGTAAGCAGAAGTAAATAAGAGCGAAAACATTTTTGATGACACCACCTGGGAGCAAAAAGGATTAGAATTTAATCTGAAGACTAAAGGGAGGAAACATGACTTTCTCAACATATTTAACGATCTGCTTCATTAGTCATTGTTTCTATTTCTGGCTGATACTCACTGTTCCATATCAAGTGTACCTGTGATATTATCCATTGATTTTCAGCTCAGCCTCCAGCTGCAGTAAACTGGAATATGTCTTTAAACCATTTCCAAGTCTCAACATTGCAAATGCTGCTTGAGGGATAAAGTGGATTTAGTGAAGCACTCGTTTCCATTCCCTCCTCCAAATGATTAGAAATTTACAGGCAACAAATATGCTGAACTTTACGCAAGAAAGACACTTTCAGAGCTTAATGATCCCTGTCTGTTTTCTACACTCTTGCCAACACACAAGCAAATGAAAACAGAAAACATTTCTCCGAGTCGACTTTTTCATGGTGGGGGAGTGGACGCCGTCTATGCACCCTGCTGGACTTTTCATCCAAGTGTGTATTTTGCCCCTTTTGATAACAGCTATAAGTATAAAAATACTTTGGCACCCACACAAATGAAATTCCACATCCCCAGCAAACAACATCTTGGTGAATTTTTTGGTGGCAGAGGCACCTTTCAGGAGGCTCAAAAGTACCTGTTACTGCAGACAACCGACGCTCCAGCGACATGTGGTCATTTTTCACAACACGACAGTCTGGAGGTAACAAGAGAATCACCATCCATGGTCATTTCCAGGCTACCAGACAACACCACACAGTGTTCCTTTAGCGCACGTTTAAGTCATCCTGACAGATGCCCAAAATAGCTTTGTCAGAGGTTACAGTGCTCAGTGCTCTTGCCAAGCCTGTATGACACATTCCCCTCATTGCTGATACAATTATGAGTCTGTACTTTGTGCTGTTGCATATCTGCAAGTGTATTTTAGGCTTGCTACATTTGATGGGTTTTTACACTTAATCAATAAACATGCTGCATTTTTAGCATGACTTATCAATGAGAGGTAGAATGTCAATCCATTGAAAGACATTTTATAGTGAATATTTTAGAAGCACAAGCAGAAAAACAAAATTGAAAAATGAACAAAATGGTTTTGAATGATCTGAAAGCATTTTCAAACCATCTTTAAATAAAACAATGAACATCTCACAAAAAATACAAATTAAACCGGTTCCCATCTGTCATTTTCTCTCCTTGTGGAGTTAATTTATTTCTCACAAGAAATTCCATTACAGCAGCATGTGTAGATAAAGTCGCCCTCCACAGCGAGTGGTGAAATCATGCATGCTGAAATCATTTCATCAGGAATTCACAGCCATTCAAATTGGAACGAAAAAGTTGAGTTCCTTCCAAGATGGAGTACTTTCACAGCACCAGGCACAATGTTTGCTGATTAATGGCATGCAGTCATGGAATCAATAATAGGATATGCATCACAGATGAAAACAACAAGTGTTATGATGAAAAAAAAACATGATATTTTTGCCCAGTGATTATCACCACATTTCTGTGCCATTTCTGATGAAGGGAATATCCCTTTCCAACAGCAGACATTTTGTTTTCTCAAAACAGAGCTGTGACTAATAGTACGAGGGTCTCTGCTCAAGGAGAAAGTGCCAGAGAGCTGGTATTGTACACGCTAGGCAGAACTATCACTCATAACACACAGAGCCCCAGATCCCACCAGGACACTCTGATTTTCTTTCTCTCCCAAAAGCATCCACGAGGTTTGTTTTGTACGTATACGGTAAATAAGAAATGGAGCTGATCTACAAACACTGCAGAGAAATGGCCAATTTAGTCCTTAATTCTTCAGGTAGCTCTAAATACAGGAAGGCATACCCAACAGGAGTTATTCAAAGACATTATGACTTGCCAGAAAATCCCAGGTGCCGCTAATCACATTATTCCATAGCTATTAGGTGAGTCATAGTGAGCAAACAGGAGCATTATTCATTAAACGTACGTCTGAAAATTCTAAATGTGGGTTAGGTCTCTGTGGCAAGAGAAGTGGCCTGCATCTTCCAGCTGCGATGTGGGAAATCTGTGTTTGCGTAGAACACCTTCACATACACCTTATCTAAGCCTGCTCGCAGCCAATGGAAAGAGGGGGAGAGATAGAATCTCATTCCACTTAAATGCACTCTTCATACTTGTTCCCTCGCTCACAAAGAATCAGCCTCTTTGAGTCTTTCCATCTTTTCTCACGCACATTCAATTACAGGGGAACCATCCCCCCAACCACATAAACATTCATGGTCAAGAGGACGCAAATCAATCCACACTGTAACTTTACACACAGTTCTAATGACCTCTTGTTTCTCATCAGAGATCTTAATTGAATTTTAAATTACTTTCCCATCTCATCCAAAACAACAGCCCTTCAACGTTGTGTTAAGTTGTTGTGTGCACCCGGCTCACCGGAGTAAAAGAGGGCCATTTTGGCTTTCTTTAAATCAGGGGATTTGTATTTTTCAAGAAATGTTCCTCTGACACACAGGAGTGAGAGACGGTAGCACCGAGTCAGCAAATAACCTGTCACTGCATGTGTGAGTGTGTGTATGTGTGTGAGTTTAAAGGTGAGACTCTGTTCCTTCAGCTGACCTGAGCTCTGCTGCACTGCATATGAACACAATCGCCATTTTCCCATCGTAGTTTCTGCTGCCTCCTGCACACTCTCACATCAAAGTGTCTGCACGAGCCTCTGAATGCGTCGGGTGTTTAAAACCGGCGTGTGAAAACAGCTCAGGAGGTCTGAGGCAGACAGACGTGTGAAACAGCTTCTGTCACTTAGATCTGTCATGAGCAGCTGTTTCATGCTAAAGTAAGAAAATCACATGAGGCCAGAACTTTACAACTTGGATCTCTTAATGCCAATATTAGATACAACTCACAACTTTTGTCCAATTGGGAACCGAGATTAAAATTACTTAATCGAGTTGAACAGCCAAAAAAGACAATGGCTTTTGTCCTGATGGGTTACAGGATTCCTACAGCTGGTGGTTGAGACCTTTATCTACTTTAACAGCATCAGGTTTTGGGCCTTTTTTTTTTTTTTTTTTTTTTTTAAAAAGTATTCTCTTCATGAAGCCAATGAAATTACCTCACAAAAATGTCATCATCACTTCCTGGTTATGTCCAGCCATAACATCACTTGCTCCAAGTTGGAAATGAAAACTTTTCTATTAGGATGGGTAGAAAATAAATAATGAAGATGACTGCAAAAAAATTTATTCAAATGTCATATCACACTACAGGATGTAATTTTCCCTCTTAACATCCATATATATATAATATCTGAGTTATTGCCAGTATGAGCTGACAGAGTAGAGTGGCCTCCCTAAAAACTACTTTTACAATTTTCAGGAAGTCAGTGTTGTCCCGACTGTAAAATGCACAGTGATCACTACAGCTTACTATAGATGGAGTTCTTTTCTTAGAACTCTCACGTAGCAGTTTGCTTTATTGAATCAAAACTTCCCTTTCATTTTCACCTTTCCTAGTGCAAAAGAAAATAACAGTCCCTAATGGCTGCATGATCCTTCACAGCACACACCGAACACCATATCTTACTATCATTTTGAACTTTTACCATCTGGGAAATTATTTGACAAATTGCCCATTTATATGTAATTGAAGTTCCCTGCTTACCAGTTTCAAGCCCAGGTTGATAACCTGACTAAATCTTGCTGTACAATAATCCAATTTAGCCTGTGTTCACACATTGCATATGGCTCTGGATAATTAATTTTCTCCAAGCAACACCTAATAGATGATGGTAATAAATAATTTCAGAAGGACAATTAAGTCTCCCTTCATTAACCATTTACTCATTAAATCTGCCTTCGTTAGTAGAGGTTGGACGATCGCGTCCTGCCCCGCTGTAACAGCCGTGATATTTCACTGCTACAGATGATTTGGGGTGAAACCACGCACACAAGTTGACACAAAACAGAGACCCACTCATGTCCTAATGAGTCTTCGTGCTTGCTGTTCAGTGTGCTTGGTGGCTTCATTATCATCACCCTCTTGATGCATAATGTCTCCATAAAAGAAATCAACCCCACGTCATTACACCCTGGAGGATGCCACAGTTTTTCCCGTTCAATGTTTTTTATCTTTCGCTCGCATCTTTTTTTTCCCCCCCCAACATCTGTCCTTCTGCTGCATCTTTGTCCAGATATTATTTCCACCAATCTGCTTCTCATTTAATCCTTTCTCTTTAGCCCTGTCTTAATACCATCTCTCTCATCTGAGTCTCCTTCACGCTCCTTCCCCGCCTTTCTCTGGCTGTCCTTTTATTATTTCATTAAAACAGTGAGCAGGATTACAACAGGACTGGAGATCAAGCTAAGCCTGACCTCGGAAATAATAGCAAACCCATTAGGAATTGCCTCTGAATTGGCATCTAAATCAAATTACAGCATTCCCTGTTAATTGCGTTTTGATGCAGCTGTTTCCATCCGCACAAAGCTGAATGCAAAATTGATTTGTAATTCAGGAGGCGCTGATTTGCCTGGAAAGAAAATTGTTCTAGTGTGGCTTTTAAGTGGGCAAAAGCCTCTTGCCTGCTTTGTGTCCCACAGCTTAGGCAAACATTTACTATCACTAATTTGCATGCAGCAGAAAATGTAGGATTTTGTTTGTTCGAATGCATCTGTACTGTAGTGACTCCTGAAAGGGAGGATGTTCCTGTCAAATAATGCCGTGCAAAAGTGTACGTCAAACAACAGAAAGCAATCATACACAGAAAATGAAAATATCAGAGAAATCACACAGCATAGAAGTAAATTCCCCAGGCTGCTGGGCAGGAAAGGAAGCTGAATTATGACAGCAATTTAAAGGTTTGTCTGCCATAATTCTTCCTCGCACATACATATGCATGCATGAGGATTTATGTTGCATAAATTTACAGTAAGGGAGAAATATATACTCAGTAGGGCTATGAATTTTCCTTTGAAGTTTAAACATATGTTCAAATGAAGGGAAACTTAAAACGCCACTTACCTATTCATATTTTGAAATTACAGTCTGCAAGGATTTAAAAAAGTAAGCAGTTATATCAGAACATAAAAAGTTTGTGTTTTGATCCATGAGGGGGCGCTCTGCTGTGAGCATGGCCTAATAAAAGCAGTTTTAACCTCATTGAACTCAAATAAGGAGCTTAGATTTTTACTGGAGGCATCAGATTCTGGACAGTGACGCAAAACTCCAGTTTGAGAACCCCCATTTTCTGAAGTGATTTGAATATCACGCCACTCACGATTATTTTATTTAAGGAACAGTGTGTGATTCTCTCACAATACGTGAGAAACCGCAGCCAGCTGAACAGCTGACCGTGCAACAGAAATATGAAAGAAAAGAACGACTAACAAGATAGGGAGGCGCGTACAAAAACAACCAGTGTTTTATGAGATGAGTGCCAGAAGCCCAACACTCTGTCCTTGGTGCTTAGCCGCTTCATGGAAGTTTAAAAGTTTTCATGTTGCAAAGTACCGCAAAGGTGCAACAAGGTTGGCGGGTTTAATCGAATACGTCTGAAAACCTTCCGCGTCCTAAAAGAAAAGCACTTTAAAGTTTGATTTTTCAGAACACAGACGTACAGGCTCCAGCAGCGGGGCTCACCCACGAGTGCACGCCCCGCCGGACGCATGTGAAGCAGCGTGGCGGAGCGTGGGAAAGACTGCTGCGTCCGACCTTGGCCTGGGAACACACAACTCCACGAAAAACACCACCAGAGAACAGACAGTAAGCCGCCTCTTCAAAGGAAACCAGACAGTGCGCGTACTAGTGTTGGCATGTGCTTGAGAGCCTCCAGAAGAATCAATTGCAGCTGATGCCAATTCAATGAGTGTTGGGATTCCACTGTGTGCGTGTGTGTGTGTGTGTGTGTGTGTGTGCGCAGTCTTTCCTAAACTCCCTCCGGCACAGTCATTCCATTTGCTCTCACCAGGTGACAACCACCACTTATCAATGTATGAATTGAATTTCATTTTCAGCTCCTGACACGCAGAGTGCGAGTGTCACTGAGTGAAAGGCCTCTTTCACTTTATTGTAAGATTTCCTGGTAACGGCGGACAAAGCCACACGCATGCAGCCTATTAGCTGTAGCCCTCATGTGAGGATTTGCTTTCGTGAAAGAGAGGGGACTTTGGCATGGTTGTTTTTTATGAATTACTGTTTTCCAGTGCAAGCTGTAGCAGGTAATATCGCACCGCACAAAATCTCAATGAAGTTTGAGAGGTCACTCTTCCATTTATGATCCACACCACTGCTGTGATTACCATCCAAGCGCAATCAATATGAAGCCATTAGCTTCTGTTGAGCAGCTACAGAGAGAAATAACGATGCAGTATACGGGTGAAAAATTGAATATGTTGATAAAAGGAGCAGAGGAGGTGCAGCCTACTGGAAAGAAACGCAGCCTGCTGATAGCATATGTGCCTTCTATGTTAAATCTGCAATTTGTGCAACCCTCCAGGGAAGCCACTACCTGGTCTTTATCATATAAATCGATAGTGCCTCATTAATTCTTTTGCCTGCAGAACTGACAAACAATGCGCATAGAAAACAAAGTTTGATTTAGGAGATCTGCCTTTTTACACATCCCTCCTCATGCTGCATTGATGACTATTTAAAAAAGGATAATCATGGTTTGTTTTGGGGCTCTGGAAATATTTGCTTTAAGGCTGCTGTAGGAGGCAGGAAAGGCATGTCAGAGAATCAGAGGAAGTGATTTGACAGATGCGTCATCACCTGAGCTGTAATTTCTTTTGTTTTTTCCATGAAGGGGAAACCTAACCGACATCTACCTCTTGTCATCTAACACTTGCCGTGAAGTAACTTGTTTAGCCTTTCCCAGAGGAACGCAGGCCTAACAGAGGGCTGTCTACAGCCTCATGAATGTAAACAGGCTGACGTTGGGTGTGATTTCTGTGCTTATAGGGTCACGTAATTACCTGAACCCGTCAGTACGAGAAGCACGCGCTTTAAATGTGATGTCTGCAGTTCCCCTGCGATCACACCCAATGTATCAGCTAACATTATTCAAAAGACAAAATATATGGAAAAAATTACATCCAATTCTCATCTCAGGGTCCAAAATTGCCGATTTCTCACCCAGTGGTGTCTCTGGCGTATGTGTAAGGTTTTCAGTGGGAAAAACAAGCGGCAGAATCCACTATAAGTTGCTCACATGAATCTCTTCGTGTGCTGTCGGGAAAGCCGGAGTCTCACATGAGCATAAATTTCATTTAGAGTTTGAAAGATATATTCTGGCCAAATTACATCAAGTAAACCCTGTGTTACAGTATACATCCATTTTTCCTCTGTGCGGTGCATTTTTCTGCACGCTAAATTCTTCTGAGTTTCCTCTGCGACGCGTTGCGGTGATGGTGTGGTTTCCCCTTGAGGATGACTAAACTTTCATCTTATTATATCTCATGTCATCCCTTCTTTCCGCACTGGATCACCCTGCAGTGCGGAACAATAGTCTTCAAAAAGGAATGAGTAACAGAAAGAAACATCAACAACTCCTGTTCGACTTGATTTCTCCCAGCTTTGATTGTCAGCAAAAGGCTCCCTCTGCTGCTGGGCATGGAACAAAAAGTGGAATATTTCAAACAATCTGTTCTTAGAATCTCCTTTGTCTGCCGCTAGATTAAAAGAAACACAAACGCTCCTCTCGAGCTCTGATATATTTGCTTTCTGGCCCCCCTCGTGTTGAGTGGGCGACTAGCTGTGACTGGCACTGTCGGATTAGCCCATTTAAAAAGACATATGTTTTCTCTCTGCGCGTTTGTGTGCAAGCATGTGTGCACATCCTTCATACTATTTTCAGCCCGTGGTGCATTATTTATGTTAAACCATGCAGAGAAAGACACAGACCAGTGGCATATAATAGCACCGCCACAGGCCTGTGGTTGACATCGAATCACAGGCGTACTGTAAGCACACACACACAAACAAACATACTGTACAGATGTGTTCAGTAAATGCCGAAGACTCCCACACAGATCACCGGATCATGATGGCCGGACATACAACACACACAAACCGTCAGCGCGCACGTGCACACGGAGACACACGCGCGGCTCTAAATCGTATTAGGCAAATGAGAGCGAGGCGCCGCAGAGGCAGAAAAGCGCTCTGTTCGAGAGCTGTTGCTGTGACAGATCCTGGAATAAATCATGTTCAGTTGTTGTTGTTTAATATGTAAATCTTCCATTCAAAGCTCAAGCCGGTTGTTAACATGTGCATTCAGAAAAACAGATAAACACACTAACAATGTTCTCACACACATTAAGAATATGGATTTTTTTTTTGTAGCCAATAAAAAGAGAGCGGTGACACACACACACACACACACACACACAGAACGAGTGTGGGACAGAAATGCCATGGGCGTCATTACTGCACACACATTCCCTAATCATGAAGCCATCTATCAGCCCTGTGCAGATAATGATGACAACGGGAGCACACTCACAGAAACACACGTGCACACCTGAGGACACACTGCCATTCTCTGTGGCAGATATGAGAGCTTCAGGAAGGACACAAACATGAGCGACACAGAGTTACACAAACACACGCACACTCTCGACGATGCTCAATTAGGTCTGTGCAACTACTAGAAACACAAAGCAGCGTCCTCACAGGCGGCGCACACACGCACAAGCACACAAACGCGGTGAATGAAGTGGCTGTTGACAGATTTCAGCTGTAATTGATACCCCTGCTTGGCAGCCATTTTTATTTGGCTCAACCGCAAGTTAGGAATGATCTGAAAGCATGAGGAGCAAACGCACACACAGACACAAACGAGGCCCTTTTCTAACAAGCGTCACTTCACACATCAACGTCTCATTTACACACAAATCTAAACATTTGATAAAAACCACTGCTGGCTTTGGATGGGAAATGAACAGGCCAATGGACGCAGACACTGACATGGGTTTCCAACACGAGAGCTGACGAGGAGGCGGAGTCTTACCTTGAAGAGGCGCAGGATGTTGGCCACCATGATGGACACGGAGCTGGCCGCGGCGCCGATCACGCCCACGATTTTATCTGGCTTGGTGAAGATGGGGGGCGCCCCGTCGGCGCAGCGGACATCGGAGCCGTCCCTCTCGATCAAGGCCTGCACAAACGTCAGCGACTGCTCCAGAGCGTACGTGTCCCTCGAGCAGGTATCCAGGATCCGGGCCCCCAGCGTGATGTTGGGCAGCAGCTCGGGGTCCTTGTTGATGAGGTCTATGGCAAACATCATGGCCTCCAAGCGATGGATGCCCTTCTCTTTTTTTAGCTCCCCGCATGGCGTGCCGCGATCGCCCCGAGAGTGCACCGGAAATAATCCACCCAGGATGATATCACCGTCCAGCCGGATGGAGTGAGCGTACTCTGGGGCCGCCTCGGGATCTATGGGGACTCTCTGAGGAGAGGTGATGGGAAGAAGCCAAATGTAAGAAGTAGCCACTAACAGGAAGATGACAGAAGGAGAGTGGGGGGAGCATGGTGGGCTCCATTGAGGCCCCATGGTGGAGGAGGAAATTTGGAAAAAAAACTTTGAGAAGTCTTCTAAAATGGAGAGTTATATAAGAGAGAGAGTATAAACGTTTTGCCCTCCTACTGGTCAACAAGGCAGGGGTGAAGGACCCCGGGTGAGCAGGGAGCCAGGCCCCATGGGCTGATCATGTTCCAGACAGGAAAACGCCACAACAGGAGGAGCCGTGGGTGCAGCGCTGAGGATATCTGGTCCCAGTCCAGTCTGCGAGTCACATCTTTAGGAGATCCTGTTGAGAAAGAGACAGAAAAAGGGATGTCTGAGTACCCGAGCGCTGCTGCAGGGTGCGTTGGGCTCACCTGACAGACGCGTGGAGAGAGCTCACAGGCGGGGCCGGAATGCAGAGCGACAGCCAGAAACAAGCACAACAAACAGGCAGAAAAATCCCGCACAACTGTCAAGAATTCCCATCATTTAAAACCCAAAGCATGTCAGTTTGGAATGACCTCTGTGGACCTGTTCACACACACATACACACACACATGGACAGGCATCTTTTGGCAGGGAGAAAAAGAGAAACAGCTGTCAGAATGACAGTCCAAGCTCCTCATGGCATGCTCCTCAGGCTGTTCGCTCGGTTACCCTGCTGCAGTGGGGGGAGAGGGGGGGGGAGGGAGGTGGAAAGGTAATGAGATGACAGTATGGAGATGGAGAGGAAAAAGGCGAGAGGAAGGACAGAGGGAAGGAGAGAGGAGGGGAAAGGAGGCGTAGAGAGGGAAGACGGAGAGCAGAGCTGTGCAGCAACTGTGTTGCATCATTCACACACCTGCAGTGGACCCGCTACAGCCAGCCTGCCCCCCCCCCCCGGACACAGACCCACGTCGCAACAGGTAGAGCTACGTCTCCACATTAACGGAGTTAAAGATTTGCTCTCCGTGTCTGATCTCCCCCACTGCAGGGAGGTGGCCCCTCCGCCCCCCCGTCTGGAATAATATCATGTTCTGCCCACTGAGCTGCACATTAAGCAGCCATATTCTTGAATGGCGCAATAAGCCGGTTTGGGCCGGGACTGGAAATTGGTTATGACAAACTGTTGGACTTCCACACAGCGCGAGCGGTAATGTGCCCTTCATTAGCCGAGGCCCCTGGGAATTTATTTCCTCATTTCCCTCCCCTGGTCCCTGAAAACTTGATTTCGCTTTGTGCATGTCGGAACGCGTGAAGAGGCGATTTGTGCAAATTTCAAAGCCAAAATAAATATTTGAGCGTGGATATATTAATCTTTAGCTTGACATTTCCAGATCTCAGAGGGGGGAAAAAACTATTTCTGTAGCACTTTTTGGCAAGATTTGCTGTTGGTGAACACGAAATTTAACATACTTGATGATATTCTGTCAACCTTTTTAAGAATTTATTTCTAAATTCCCGAGCAAAGGAAAACTTTGCTCGGGATCCCCAAAAAGAGCAGATATTACATTGAATTCATCACCTAACAGAGCTACATCACAGAGCCCCTATCTGTGCCATACGTCTGAAACACCATTCTTTATTATAGTTGACCTGCTTACCTAAATACGAACCAGCTTTGCTTTTGTGGTGGCCCATTTTACACAGTCAAGCTTATTAATTAGCTGCTTATCTTTCCTCAGAGAGCGCTTCCTCAGCACAAATAAACACCTGAGTAATATCCCGATGTGAAAAGATTGCTCTGGAAGCTAAACTTCTTCCCTTTGCTAGCAGGTAGATGGCGAAACAGCCGTTAAACTTGTGTTCTCGCGTTAATTAGAGGGTCTCCAGGTGTGCACTTTGGATTGCTCCAATAGGAAACAGGTGTGCTGTTTCACAGTCACTTTCAGGGACATTCAGGAAAATTCAGTTTCCTCCGGGCAGAAACAGGCTCCCTGTTATTTCCCCATGTCCTGGCTTTAACTGTCTCTTTGTAGTCCGATATTCACATTCATTCTCTGACATCTTGGTTCAATTCCACGGCCAACGTTTCCCCACAGGAAAGACGCACATTCTCTTCCCATAAGACTTACAAAAAACAAAGCCAATGAAAAGAAAACAGGGGAGAAAGTTGGAGAGAATAATATCCCAAAACCATGCCAGAGAGAAACAAATACATTCAAAATATCTTCCAGTGTTTGTTCTTAATTGTTAGAGCTCAACCTTTCCCCTGAGCAGATCCACTTCAGCCATATTTAAAGCATGAAAATAAACCTGTCAAATGAGGCTCTTTACAGTTAGCCCTCTCCTGATTACGATCTAGTCTTTATTATTAAACTACATCCCTTTCTGTTGTATATAATCCCCCACAAGTACTCCAAAACATACATCTTCTCCTACCCAGAGTGAGTTTACCGAGATATATCTCGAACAGATTTTGGACTCAAATGCCATCACAGTGTGAGACACATTCTCAATTAATGCAATTCATTTCTGTCCCAATTAATTCATCATTTTCTCTCCAATCTAAATGGAATTAGGTCAAAGTCCCTCACACAAACAAACCCCCGACTATGATGTAAAGCGGGGGCTTTATGTGGGTTACCCAGCTGTGATTCATCTAACACCAGCTTCTTCTCACATTGTTTATTCAACACTTCCTCCTTGGATTTGGGCTCCTCTTGGTGTCGACGCAGGAGGGGGCTCCTAATTAGACCTGGGGGTCCCAGTCATTAACCCCATGCCACATTACTTTCAACTTAGATTTACATCTGACTCCACTATAATGAGGACCAATATGGCTTCTGTTCATCCCCACTCTTGTTTTTACCATGTGGTGATGTGAGGCAGCCGCCTGACAGAGAGCCCCCACACATCTGTACAAATTGGAAACTTTCACATTCGTCCCAGCTGTAACTACATGAGAAAGTCTCGAGGGGGCGGCGGAAAAAAAATTCTGATTGGGGCAATGTGTGAACGTCTGGTGACTGAGCAGGGGGCTCGGAGGTTATTAAAAGTTCCATGTCTCATTTACACTCACACTCACCGAAGATTATCACGTTTCTGAGGGGTGAAAAGAGGTGACATCCTCGCCTGTGTGTTCACGCATCCGAGTTCAAACCAGGTTTTATTCTAATCATCTTGGCTATTAGTCTCCCGCTCCCATGAGGGTCCTTATGATGCTTTACAAAAGCCGAAAAGAAACAGATTTCTTCTCCCGTGTGGCTGCGCACTCCACAGAGGAGGGAGAGGAGAAGGTTTTCCCCGGTTGTAATGGTTTGTGGCTCGAAGATGAAGGGGGTTAAGCCCCAAAAGGCTTCGGCTGGCTCATCACTCTTTTTAATTTACACCCACGGCTGGCTGTCAAAGTGAGTGTCGCCCACTCCTCCTTCTAGTCTGGTTTTATTTCCACTTCTCTCCTCCCTGCGTCATCCCTCTCCCCCACACCATCTCCCTCACTTTTTACCCACTTTCCCCTGCTTCTCTTCCACCGTGTCCTCCTCCTCTCCCTCAGAGCCGTATCACATCACCTTCTGCATACAGGCCTCTTCATCTCTCGTGGGAGAGTACTGCTCTTTTCAGAAATTGATAGCTTTTCTGCCACCCTGTTCTCTTCCAATCACTCGCCTCCTCCCTCTTCTCTTCCAAGGTTTGCGGTCAGCCTATCGACTATTTCTTTTCTTCTCTATCTGCCTCAGGTAGAGATCATGGGCCAAAGAGGCACTCAAAGGTTGATCTCCTCTTCTGCTACTCACAAAACCACATGCACACATTCCCCCTTCAGCATGGGTGGGTATCCCCACGGAAAAAGGATGGAACAGACTCACACTGTAAACGTCTTTTTTTTAAAGACATTTTCTGCTTTTTTTATGTTGCTGGTGAATGTTGCCTTCACTTTTTTCTGACAACGTGAACCCCACTGACTGTTTCTCATCTGGGTAAATGCAGCTTCCATCGCCAGGAGACACAAACACACGCCTCAGACAAGATGAAGTCGTGCGTCAGGAGATAAAACGCAGCCCACAGGTTCAAAATCAAGACTATCTGAGATCAAAGCCCAGGCTTGTATGCTCATTATGGAGCCCTATAGGCTTCATTCTGTACAGCGGTGGTGGTATTTTGATTGCACCCTAATTAAGACACTGCCATCCGCCTTAAAAGCTGAGGAGCACCAGTGCGGGAGAGCAAAATGTCATTCTCATTAATTAGCGTCTCCGGTTCGACCCCCACCATACTGTCCAGGAGTGAGGCGTATCTCTCTTAACGTGCTGTTAATACGCTGGTCGCCTAAAAACTATAATGCACAGGACAGAACTGACTCAAACCCATCACTGGAGGAATGTAGGGAGGCATAAAAGATGTAAAACCGCACACACACACAAACACAAAAACGTGAAGAGATATTAAAGGAAAACTGATACCTCCAGGTTCAGATTACGAAATTCTTCCAATAACCTGTCAGAAAAAATAAAAAAGAAGGGGGAAAAAAAGAAGGAGAAGCTCCAGCTTCTCCCCCGCAGACTCCTTGGGGTCCGTGTCCGCCTCAAGCAACTTCCTTGCGGAGCTCAGCAGTTTCACCCCTCAGGAAAATATCAGTCCTCCCGAAGTGAGCTTGTTCGTTTCTTTTCCACCGAGGAAGAAATTTCAGGATCATTCAGAGCATCCGCAAAAGCGAAGAATGTTGGACGTGTGGCGGGTGGTGAGGGATAAAGTGCTCTGTCGTGACCAGCCTGGCTGCTATTGCGCGCAAAACGCAACAATTAACTCCGCACTTGTTTAAGGAGACAATAGAGGGAGGCTGCCTGTGCCCAAGTCGATAACCAAGACTGAATCTCAGATACAGACAGAGAGAGAGAGAAGAAGAGAGAGGGGGGGGGGGGGGGGGGGGGGGGGGGGGGGGGTGAGGGGACAGAGCGGAGGAATTCATCATACACGGTGCTGATCAATAATGTTGGTAAAACCCACCTGATTTGGATCCATAGTCCTCTCGGAGCTCTCCGCACTTTGCGCATTAACCCTCTCCTTTAAGTCCGCTTTGGGCTTCTGAGCGCAAGCGCGCGCACAC